ACTTTCATAGTACCATTCAAACGTCTACCTTCTTGGTAAAGTTTAGCGCGTTATTTGAAAAAGTTCGTCGACTGCATCGTGCTCCGGGCTTATAAATATATCTTCGTTAGACGAGTGAAACTTTAATTAGTTACGGGAAAATGATTTGCGGAATATCTCTTACCGTAGGGGGTCTCTTTCTTCCCCATATTAGGAGTTGAGCTACCTTCATCCGATGGTTCGGTTGTGGGAACTGCTGGCACTATAGTTGGAATCTCCTGCTGTATGGAACAGTCCGTTCCACTCCAGCCAGGGTTACAATAGCACTTATTGCTATTTGTGCATACCTGTAGGCGACAGAGATAAAAGGTTTTCTATATAAGTTTTTTTTTTTCTTTTTCTTTTTTTTTTCCCTAAAAACGTGACCTTATCTACCAGCGCGTTCGTTGTTTAAAGCGATTCAACTCTTAACAACGTTAAACGTTGGTATAGTTATATAAAAGTTTGGATGAAATTTTGAACGAAGCAACAATTTAAAAAGAATAAGATCAAAAGGGAGAAGAAACTTACGCCATTTCCTGAGCATTCGTTGTTATTGTGATTACTGGGACATTTATCTTGATTAATGTGTAGGAAAAGGCTCGTACAAGTTTGATTTACGCAGATCTAAAATCATAAACGAGGGTAATAGTAAAGAGATTATTTTGTAAGAACGATAATCATTGTTTAATTGATTACGCATTAATCTATGGTAGAGATGACTTTATGAAATATATTCAATCAAATAATATTTTAATGTTAGCTTTGAATAGACCTTTAAGCGCTGTTTTTATTTCACGAAGAATTTCGAAATTGAAGATAAACAAGGTTTTGTTTGCTCGCGTTGTTATCGGCTCGTTCTTCGCCAAGTTCAAACATTTTGCATAAATCGATTTATGGTATCGTTCAATTAATCGAACCGTACTTTTCATTCCACCGGTAGAGACAAAACGGTCTATCTGGCAAGCTTTCAGAAGGCCTTTTTCGTTAGGTCGATCGATTAGATTATTTCTTATAGGGGTTTCCAATAATGTGATATAAAAAAATATCTCACCAGATTATCACCGCAAGACGTGCCGTCACGAACCAATCCCCAACCTGGCATTTCGGAACCTTCTACTTTACCAGACGTCGATCTAAGTAATAGGGAAACGTTTTATTCATCAAATTTTTGATCTCTTCGATCTTTCTCAATACATACTTGCACTCGTATTCCTGACCCTTCATCGTTATGTGCGTAACAGAATAAAGTTCATCCATTCCGTCGATAATAGGTTGCTTGTACCCAAGTTGACATTGAAGCGATCCGCAATGAACGTTACTAGAAAAATCAATTTTACCCCAGTTTGTGGAATACGATCGATCATCTCTGTTATTAATTTATACGAAAAATGCGAAGTAATGAATGGGGAAAAAAGTAAAAACGAATGTTACGAAAATATTTAACGATTAATGTTCATTTCGAAAAAATATAAAAAGTCATTTGTTTATTGTTGTTTCCTTTCCTTTTTTTGTTTTTTTGTTTTGGTTTTTTTTCCCCTTCTCTACATACACCATCGTGCTTTCACGTGTGCTCAATAAAAAACAATCAGGGAAGAGGTAGAGAGAGAGAGAGACACACACACAGAGAGAGAGAGAGAGAGAGAGAGAGAAATAGATAGATAGATAGAGAGAAAGAGAGAGGGGAGGAAAAAGGAGGGCTGTAGCGTATTCGTTGAAAAATCGAATGACCTGCACACGGTGACGTCATGCAAGCCTGGCCATTCAGAACTACCGACGTACAGCGTTCAGTTTAAATCTTTTTTGTTTCTCGGCCTTGTATTGTTTCGATTTACCAACGAACCGCGTGGAGCCGGATACTCACTCTGACTCGCATTTGACGAAATGACCGGAAGCGTCGGTGCCGCAATGGCCGTTGATAGAACCCTTTGAGTTGAACTGTACGAAGCATTGCTTGTCAGCTGCGGTACTGCTGTAGCCCCAAACCTGCTCGCATTGAAGATTCAAAGCCGGGCAGACACCGTTGAAGCAGTAACCAGCGTTATTCGAGCATGGATTCCCATTTTTCTTATAAACATCCGGTGGACATTGACCTGTTTCTCCGGAACAAACTTCCGGAAGATCGCACTCGTTCGTCGATTCGCGGCAAATGACGCCACGTGCACGTAACTGTTTTTTTTATGGTATTGTTTGTTGTCGTTATTGTTTATTGTTGTTGTTGTTGTTGTTGTTGTTGTTGTTGTGGTTGTTGTTGCAGGAATAAAAGAAGAAAATACAAAGTGTATGAACGAACAAGAGAATAGTACTAGAACCGTGAGTAATGAATTACACCAGCATTTTTATCTGGTTTTGTTTTCTCTCTTTTTTCTCTCTTTTTTTTCTTTTTTAATTTTTTTTTTATTTTTTTATTTCTTTTTTTTTTTCTTTTTTTTTTTTTCTCTATAAATGCTAATGAAATTTAACGTTTTCAAAGTCTACCGATCTGTAACGATTTGTTCCTGTACATAAGTGTTCCACCGAATAGTATTAAAAAATTGATTGCATAAAAGGTCGAAAGATATGGACGACAAACGATTTCATTTTGAACCATTCTGCAAGAATACTTTTTCAGTGAGCTTCCAATCCAGGTCAGTGATTTAACGACAATGTTCGATAAATCCGTAATGATGATGGTCGATCACCATTCTCGATAAAGGTTGTCCTGTTCACAGGGAACAGGGTCACTCGTAAGGTCTCGAGGAAGATCGGTGATCATCGACATCGACGAGTTAGTTCGCTAGAACGTTACAGAAGAGACCTACTGACCGAGTATATGAAGGGTCACAGCTATAGCTACCTCTTAACACGTACTGGTGTACGCTGTCGCTTGACTATGTTCCATATTCTGCATCTACAATGTACTACTCCTCGTACTATGGGCGTGTTGGTACGTGTTGTCAGCCCATAGGGAGTGTGTTAAAAGGCGATGCTAGCAGGGATGTTGATGACGCATAGTATATCTATTCGAGTATATTCGGTTTAACTGACCGAAGTTTGTCTGGTCTCGACAATTTACTTCCGATAATATAAAATCCTTCTCGATTTATTTATTTTACTTTTATTTGATAATTAATATACTAATATAGATAAAACTTTTAATAACGATCGCGGTGATATAATATTATCTTTAATGCGATCTATTCGTGAGGATATTGATAAATTTTCATTTTCACCCTTATTTCCGGCTAAAGTTCATTGAATGTCTAAGATCGATTAACTGAACGTAATTTCCTTGTAGGGTGGCAAACTTTGAAGGAAGAATGACCTTTTCGAACGCACGATACACAATCACTTAATCATTAGGAAGCTCGAATTTCAATTAGAATTTCTCGATTAATTTCGGCTACTAGACACGTAAAAGTGGATAAGTGATTTTGTAAGGTATATGTATCAAACGGTGGAAGATTCCCGTGTCTATGCTAGTGATAAGAATGTCAGTGATGTTTAATAAAGCTGAATAGAAATTCTAAGCTCGTAGACTTTTGTTTATCGTTATATACCTTGCAATTGCTGCAACAAGGTCCGGTAGCGCATTCGGCCTCCGATGTGAGTTTACAAGTGATCGGATCGCAGCAAGGATCGAGCTCGTGACATTCCTCAAACGAACCGCAGTCGCATTGTTCCCCGTCGTCTATCATCTTGTTTCCGCATTCTCTTCTTACATCTATCTATGAATTGACAAAGAAAATTTTCGTACAAATGAAGTATAAATGAGGAGGGAGAAAGAGAGAGAAAAAGAGAGAGAGAGAGAGAGAGAGAGAGAGAGAGAGAGAGAGAGAGAGAGAGAGAGAGAGTGAATGGAGTAAGTGGGTAAGAGAGAAGGAGATAAAGAATGGAATGAGTTAGTAAGAGAGAGAGAGAGAGAGAGAAAGACTTAAGATCATCGAGAGATCGAAGTACTCGGCCCACTTGACACGCTTACCTCGTTTGGTTTATTAAAAAGGCAAATGCCGCTGCCGCTTTTTAAAGTTTCTATGTAATCTTTTTTACTACATTCGGAAAACTTGTAGGGCTGAACGTTTTGCAAGCCGACGATGGATTGTGCCATGATACATCCGTGCCAATCGTAGCAGCTGCACTCGTTTCCTGCAAAGCGTTATCGAAAGATCGATCTGACTTTGTTCTTTAAATAACTCAGAAGGATTTTGTTCATTGTTCTCGATGCTTTTGGCCCCGTTCTTCGTAAGATCAAAACCGGTAGAGTTTTAAAAAGAAAAGAAACGACAAGTTGAATCACTTACGTCCATCGTCATGGTGCATGCCAATGTTATGACCTATCATATGAGCCATCGTACCGGCTAAAAGATGGGGTTCGTAAGTATTTAAATCGACGCTGATTCCTATAGATTTTTGGCTGCACACAGTTTGCGGTACAGCCACCCCTGATTCTCCACCTGAGAAAGTCTCACCCCTGTTGACAAAACGAAACAAAACCGGAAAAAAAAAAAAAAGAAAAGTAAAAAGATAAAGCTTCCATATCTTTCTTCTAACCTTCTATTTTTTCTCATTTATCGTCGGTGTATGTCACACTCACGTAAGTAATTGGGTGGTGTCCTGAGCACCATTGTATATCCTCCGAAACATATAATCACTAAACTTTAGCAAAGCTTCATCAATATCCATATCTTTAGTGATTTCCATTTGGTTACCACCTTGCCAGGTTTCGATGTATACGACGGAGACTCTAGTTTTTAATTTACAGAAATACTGAAACGTTCGAAAGAGAAGATATTTTTTTTTCTTTTTCTTCTTTTTTTTCTTTCTTTTTCTTTTTTTTTCTTTTTTCCTTTTTTTTTTCTTTTTTTTCTTTTCTTTTTTTTCTTTTCTTTTCTTTTCTTTTTTTTTTTTTTTATCGATAACTTTCATTATACTCGATATAAAAGGAAATCTTGTTAAGTTTTTAATGGAGTGCGAATTGTATCGTGCTTACCAAATCCGCGATATTTGCAACTTGGATGGCATCGTGAACAACCTCAGCTCTGGTGCTACCGTTTCTTTTGTCAAACTAAATATTAACAAATTGGAAATTGGTAACATATCACATTGGCGACAATAATAAGAATTTTATAATATATGATTTGAAATATCTCGATGATCCCGTGTTTCCTCGATCTAAACGGAGATCGAAGGAAATTCGCGATATCTTTGAAAATGGAAAATGATCCAGCGAAAGTGTACTATCATCTTATTTTGTTTTCTCTCTTTCTTTTTCTTTTTTCTTTTTTTTCTTTTTTTCTTTTTCCTCATCGATCGATTTTACAACGATCTACATCGATATCGAGATGATCGAGAAAAGAAGAAGGGGACCATTAATAGAATCAACTTGAAGGATCGTTCGTGACACGGTTACCACGTAGAATTCAGATAGATATTGAGTGATTCAATAGTGTCGTTCGAATATCCGAGAATCTATCTTGTTTAGAACGAGGAGGATACTTTTTCGTCGATAAGACGAATAGAGAGATCATCGAGCGTATATTAAATTCGAGAGAGAAGATCGAAATATCGAAATTCCAGAATGTTATTTTGCAAAAAGAAGATAATATTCTTTTCTTTTCTTTTTCTTCTTTTTTTTACATACATACATACATATATAAGTATATATATATATATGTGTATATATATATGTATATATATATATATATAAGAAACAATGAAATTTAGTTTTTCGAAGTTTCTATCTCGAGGTAGGGTAAAGGAAGTGCATTACCACGAGTAAAGTGGATATACCATAGCCTTATCGATAATGATGGCAGTTTCGATGTATTTGGTTGCTTCACGGACGTCTCTCTTGTACCGATCGGAAGTGCTTTCCGATAGCCACAAAACATCCTTCTGCCGGCGGTTCTTCGTACGCCACTCAAGATTTCCAAAGTTAGCGCAGCCTTTGTCCGCTTTTGTTCGAGCTTCAAATATAACGTGAGGATGTTTCTGCTAAAAGAGAGGTGACTGCATATAGTTAGCATTCACGACCGATCTCGAATGTGCTCTCCCAATCGGGGAGGAGTTCAACGTTCTTGTTGCTATAAGAGTTTGGTGGATAGATGGATAGAATAGGTAGTAGTGATGCTGCCTATGGTGATGGTGTTGGTATTGGTATTGGTGGTGATGATGGTGGCAGGGTAGTGAGACGATTATGGTTCGTACGAACGGGAGTTTCGACCGCAAGCTGCGTGGCCATTCACGAGAGTACAACGATAAGCCGAGCACGTAATCGTATTACGCTTTCCGTCACCATCGGTTGCTTTTGATCCAGTGAACGTAATATTGCTGATAACAAGAGGGCTCGTGAAGAAGGTTTATGAACACGTAAACCATTTTTCTCGTCGCTTTAAATCTTTTCTATCTATTCATGTTTATGATTTTGTCCTTTTTTCTTCTTTTTTTTCTTGTTTTTTTTTTTCCTTTTTCTTTCTTTTTTTTTTATTTTAGAAGAAGAGAAAAAGAGAGCAAGGGAGAGAGAAAGAGAGAGAGAGAGAGAGAGAGAGAATTAAAAATCAACGACTCTTCTAATAATCCGAGCTCGAGAGATAAAAAGAAACGTATAAAACTTTATACGTTTTTTAAAAATGTCTAGGATAAAAAAAGAAAAGAAAAGAAAAGAAAAAGAAAAAAAAGAAAAAAGAAAAAATCTATTAGATAAAAAATAATATTCTCTTGTTATATGTTTTGAAAGATAAGTAAACGGGATACATGGGTGAAGAAATTATAGGAGGGTCACAGAATGTTACTTGTTCGCTAGTCGCCTTAACCGAATCCTTCTATGCTTCGTTTTGTGCTAACGAAACTGGATCGCGGGTGTTTACGTCGGCTAAGCCCACTACGCGTTCGGTATATGTATGTATATATGTATGTATATATGTGTGTAAGTATAGGTTGTATAGAGAAAGAGGAGATTGTGCAAACACTTCCGTCGAATGGGCAGGATAGAGAGCTCACATGACACACTCGCTTTTGTGGGAATACCTAATGTGTTAAGTTGACATTCGCGTGTTTCCGATATGATCAAAGAAAATATTTTCTCGTATTATTAAAAGATTTATAACAGAATCAAAGTTCGTTATATGGGAATGAAACTGACCGACAGATCGCCGCCGTAGAACGGATGAATGACAAAAGTCTCGTTGCCTAAATGTATGACACCACTGACACCGTTACACGTGTGAAAAGCGGCGATAGCTCCTGGATAATCTCTTACGGTGCCGTGATAATAACAATGTTCTATCTCCTGTTGAAAAGGAAACGATTATTCTCATTAGTAGACACTTTAAATTGCTTCAATCAAACGTTACGTCATACTTCGTAATTTATATGAAATATTAAGTGTACATAATGCGTGATATTAATGATCTATTAAAGGGATTACCTGTTTAGAACTTTGTTCTGCACCGTTGACTAAAAAGTCTTTTTGTACAAGATTCGGAGCTAAAAGTTGCCTGGAACAGTGATATTACTTCGTTTAATGTCAAACGCATGATATATATGTGTATGTAATACATGCATGCACTTATCTAATTGCTTTTATTCCCTTCATTTTTTTCCCATTCTTATTTTCTCTCTCTTTTTGTTTTTTTTTCTTTCTTTCTTTTTTTCTTTTTTCCTTTTTCTTTTCTTTTCTTTTCTTTTTTGGGATTTTGGAATAATCAAGGACGAATGTAACTTACGTATTTAATTCTAAATCTAGGCGAAATTTATGATTAAAGGCCTTGATCAGGAGAGACGTCCGGTGAAAGTGCCTTCCTATCTGAAGTTCAAAAGTAATATACACGGTTAACATCGCACTTTAAACGATTTAACGGGAGATAGTTTAAGTAATTTACGAGGGATATTAATCCGCGCAAACTTACTCTTAATCTGCCTCTAGAGTTTTGATATCCTCCCTCCCCGTATCCTCTTTGAGGAAACTGAAATAACGAAAAGCGCGATAAGCCTTAACTCGGACGATAGGTCGATCTTTGCGAAGATAGTTGTTAATCTCTCATTGTTTTTTTTTCTTTTTCTTTTTTTCTTATTCTTGTTTCTTTTCTTTTTTTTTTTTTTTTAACGTACGATAAAAACAAGCACGACTAAGGAAAAAGGAACGAACGGTCGGGAAAGGGTTAATAAAAATCGTCGCGACACAGTGATTACCTTAGGAACGCCAACTTCTCTCGTGGATATCCCCATTTTCTCGTGATGCCGTAACTGTACTGGATAGATGATCTGATAGTAATTGGCGCCAATATTTCGTACTAGCTCTTGGTTTTGTCGATACTCTCGTAGTAATCGTTCGACCTCACCTGAAATCAATTTCTCCGTTCAATTGTAAGTTCTCCAATTTGCTTCGAGTACCTCCGATCTCATCTTCGCGTTTAATGGACTTTGGTGCGATTCGTGAGAGCGAGGCACAGAATCGAATCGCATTATCTTATATATATATATATATATATATATATATACATATATTTATTTATTTATTATTAATAACGTTAGACTATAATCTTTTC